GGGAGACGGTGAGGGGGTAGAGGGGACGAGGGGAGGGTGATGGAGAGGAGAGGTGAAGGGACTGTACAGGTGATTGATTGTATGGTGGGGATGCGACAAGGAGGTGGGTGCCATGGTGGACAGGTAGGCAGCGTGGTTCCCGCACGGCTACTGTTGGAAGGGTGGTTGGGGAGCGATGACCTAAGGAGCAAGTTCACAAAAAGGCTCGGGTCCCTCGCACGGAGGTGTGACTGACAATGAGGTCGGCGGCCTGTATGAGGCGTATGTCCGCTGGGACCTTGTCGCCGTCACTCAGCTCCACCACGTCCCCTGGTACCAACTCACTCGCATCCACCACCTGCTCTCATGCATGCACGCACACATGCACCATGTACACATGCACCATGCACCCATGCACACATGCACCCATGCACCCATGCACCCATGCACACATGCACCCATGCACACATGCACCCATGCACCCATGCACACATGCACCCATGCCGTCAAGCACACATACACCCATGAAGCCAGTCGTCCATGTGATAACAGTGGGATGCAGCAGCAATGCATGGCAGCGTTAGGCAGAGTGTGCCTTCAACGGATGGTCAGCCACAGGGTAGCGCTTGGGCGTCTCATACAAGGACGGGGAGAAACGCTAAAATCACAGGACTTAGAAAGAAAGTCAGATTCGAGAATAAGGAGAGAAAGAGGAGGGAACGGGGGGGGGGGGTGGGGGGGAGGGAGGGTGGAGGGGGAGGGGGGGGTGGTGGGGGGCAGAAAGGGAAGGGGATGCATCTGTATCGCTAAAGGGGGGAGGGGGTGCAGTTCAACATGCAGTGTGGGTGCGTGCGTGCGTGCATGAGCTCACCTGCACACGGCCGTTGCGCAGGACGCGGGAGGTGGCGGGGATGAGCTGGCGGAAGGACTCCATGATGTGCTCTGAGCGCGCCTCCTCCCAGTACGTGAACGACGCCGTCACCACCACCACCACCACCAGCACTATGCCCAAGTATAGCTGCACGGGGGGGAGGTGGGCAGGGGGAAGCATGGGGAGAGGGAGAGGGAGAGGGTAGAGAGGGGGAAGGGGAGAGGAAGAGGAAGAGGGTGTCATGGAGGTTTTACCGGATGGGTAGGAAAAGGGGGGACAAGCCGAGCGGGGCAGAGGTGGGGGATGGGGGGAGAGGGGGGAGGGGAGAGGGGGGGAATACATTTGAGAGGCTTTAGGGCGGTTATGTCGTCGTGCTGCGTGCATTCTCTTTGCATCGGATTCGTTGAAAACAGAGTGTTTTGCGGCATGAACGCGCAAGCGTGGGTGATGGTGGTAGCGCCAAGGCACAGGCACACAGGCCCGTATGGTGCCCGGAAAAATTGCCAGCGCGTCTTCCCATCCTCCGTGCTCCCCCATCTCCTCCCTCCCTCCCTCCCACCCCACCGTCTCCCCACCACCACGCACCTCTCCCTCACCCTCCCGTCCCATTCCCCTCCCTCCCATACCGACCCTTTCCTTCCGCCATCACCGCTCACGTTCTCCTTGTCATGGGCGGGGTCGATGCCGTAGGCGAGGAAGCAGAGGGCGGCGGCGACAATGAGGAGCAGGGAGAAGAAGTTGGTGAACTGCAGCAGGTAGCGCACCCACCACGGCATCACGTACCCTGGCGTCAGCCGGTTCTCCCCATACCGCCCCCGGTTCACCACTACCTGCACCTCCGATAGCCCCTGCATGGCGGGGAGCAGGGGGGGGGAGGGGAGGGGAGGAGAGCAGGAGAGGGGAGGAGGGAGGGGAAACGACATAGAGATACGACACGCCAGTACATTATACGTGTACACCTGTGAGATGGTGCATGCACAGGCAAGGAGTGGCGTGCGCGTGGCATGCGTGTGGCGAGCGCGTGGCGTGCGCGTGGCATGCGTGTGGCGAGCGCGTTGCGTGCGCGTGTCGTACGGTTGGCGTGTGCGAGGAGCGTACCTGGGCAGGGTCGGTGTGGAAGTGCGAGTAGAGTTGCTCCAGCGGCCATGTGTGCTCCACCTGCTCGCACGCACACAAGCACGCACACCATCATGCACGCAAAGCACCAAAGCGCAGGCGAAATTCACGGGGCGGCACGACACGGTTCAGCACGAAATGCACGCGGATAAGCGCAGGAATGGCTATGCCATGCATGTATGCGACGGGTGCGACAGATGCGACGGATGCGACGGGTGCAACGGATGCGACGGATATGATGAGGAGGCAAGCCATTGCTACTGTCCACTACCGGCCACACCACTCGCCGCTCCCACTGGAACGCGCGAACGGGTGGAAACGTTGCGACTGGCAGAAACAAATTCGAACGTATGTATTCTGAATAGCACGAATACTTCTAGTCTGCTCCTTGGAAGAACGAGAGTAAGACGCTTTTCTATGATTCTTCGCGGGTGATATAGGCGACTGAAAATGAAAAGCTGAGACAATAGTAGGTGGGAAGTCAGCGAAACAGGTTACCCTGCACAATGAAAATAGGAAATGACAGACCGGAAAGCTCTCAAGCAACTGGCTCGGGCTAGGAAAACTGGAATCCCCAAGGTAGAGTCTGGTCCTTGGATGGGATGGAAGGGGAAGGACCGAGGTCAACAACGATGTACCGTTTAGAAACGTAAAAAACCGAGGGGTAAGGTGAACAAAGTGCAAGTGATTGTTGATAACATGGCATGCGGGCCGTCCGATTACGCTGGCACTTTGTTGGAGGCTGATGGGCTCAGAAGTTGAAATAGTTGCGTCGCGGTGCAATGCGGTAAAGTATAAACAAAATGCAGAAAGTCGAGATCGTTGCGTCACGGTGATATACGGTAATGTACGAGACCCACCTTTCATCCAAGCAAGGACTGTCAATCACATGAAGCGGATGCAGCGATGTTTATGCAGCTTGCTCGCGTCACGATCGTACTAGTAGAAACGCGATGAAAGTTTGTCAATAGAAACGCGAATGATCGAGCGTGTCCTGTGTGCTCAGCCGCCTGTTCTAACCATGCTCCTTCCGGGCGCGCACGTGCCGGGCTTCCTGCGGCACGTGTGCAAGCTGCTCTTCCTGCATCCGCCCGCTGATCGTCTTCGACGCCGCCACGCCCGCGCTCAAGCGCCGCACCGTCCTTGCGCGCCGCCACCAGAGGAAGAGCGCGCACATCAGGTGCGCGCGGCCAGGTGGAAGGGGGGAGGGGGAGGGGGGAAAGGGGGGATGGGGGGAATGGGGTCGCAGATGAGGGGGAGACAGAGAGAGGCTTTATTCAATGGGGCAACGGAGGTGGCGCGGTGGTTTGCGGTAGTACAAGAAATCGAATACCGATTATCATCTCTAATAGTTTTTTTTTTTATGATTATTATTTTTGCGTTTTTTGTTTTTTTCTCCAACCCGCCTTCTTTCTCGCAGGGAGGTGGTGGGAACCCGCGCTCAATCGCCTCCCGTTTTCCCCTCCCCTCCCCGTGCCGCCACCTCTCCCCCTTTCCTCACCCGCCCCTCCCTTCAGCCAGCGCGCTGCTGGCGCCGAAGCAGGCTGAGGAGGACCATTCCGCCTTTTCCATCCCCCCTTTCCCCTCCCATCTCCGTCCCCCCTTCCCCTCACCCTCCTCCTCACCCTCCCCCTCCCCCTCCCCCTCCCAGCTAGAAACTCTTCCTCCTCCTCGCACGCCATCTCCCCATCACACTGCATTGCAACCGCACCTTCCCTCCCCAGCTGCCCCTTCTGCAATGCTGCTCTCAGTGCGCCTGTTACCGTACCACAGCGGCCATGGGGGTGGTTCTAGGAGCAAGGCATTTCAGGGCAATCGTGGCAATGTGGCCTCTCTAATCTTGACACTTGCTGATGCAAGGAGGGGGTTTGGACATATGGTGACTTCGCCTAGGGTGATTCTTAAGACTAGTACTTCACTGAACAACTTCGCGGGATTCTCATGGCAGTGTCAACGCATGTGCTTGTCCCTGAGACCGAACGCCAGTCTGACTAGCCACCGGGTGAGTGAGAGCGGCATGTTGGGCTGTCGGGCAAGTGCTCGCACAAAACCCACCCCCTCCCCACGTTCCCCTCCCATTCCCGACAGAATTTGTCCCCTCCAGGAGTTCTGTGCAGCACTCCTGAACCTGTATCGCTCATGTCCCTGCCGCTCTTCCCCCCCACCCCCTCCGGTTACTTCCAGGTGGTGGCAAGCGAAATAGGAGTGGTTGTCAGGCGCAGCAGTAGCAGCAGCAGCAGTACCTCCCTCCCCCATACGCTGCTGCTCCGAACGCCTCACCTCCGCCATTCCTACCGCATGCACCCATGTCGCAACCCCCAACGCAACCACAGCAGGTTCCACTGCAGCAACACCTAGGCCCGCCCCACCCCTTCCAACCCCAGCCACCTCCCTTTCCCCGCGCCCCCACCTTCCCATTTGCACCAGTTCGACCTAGGCCGCCCCTCCCTGCCCTTACCTCCTGGTCAGGGTTACGGGTATGGCTATGGGCAGGGAGGGTATGCGGGAGGGGCAGCAGGGTTAGCAGGTCCTGGAGGGGCCTTGCCTGTTCGCCCTGGTTCGGTTCCACAGGCGGCAAGTGGTTGGCATGTGCAGGGGGGATATGGGGCCGTGGGGGGGTGGCAGGGACAGGGACAGGGACAGGGAGGGGGAGTGGGAGGGGGAGAGTGGCAACGGCAGGACGTGTGGAAGGTTTGGAGGTGCGCAGAGGGGGAGAGGAAGGGGAGGTGAGAGGCAGCGGCGGCCGCCGCAGTAGCAGGATGGCAGGCGGGACAGGGACAGGGACAGGGACAGGAGGGGCAAGTGGGTTTGATTGCGCACTGGCCCACTCTTGCAGCTTACTGGTAGGTACACTCTTGACCAGTGCTGAATTCAGTAGCTATTCAGGTTATCAAATTTCAACTGTCAGAGTTTGTGCTTAGTTTTTTGTCCTTGAAATGTGTTCACGCATTTTCCTATATTATACCCCCCTTGGGATAAGCGTACCCCTTACAGGTACCTATCTATGAAACGAATCACCTGCAGCTCGTGTTGATTAATCCACAACCTGAGTGAGCTCAAAAAGACTCCCCTTGATAGCCTCCTCGAGCACTATCATGGGAGTAATCCCCTTGCCTTCAAACACCGTCAGCAGCATCCCCTTGCTGAACCCAGACACCAGCGCCACCCCATCCTCACTCGCAAGCACCGGCGTGCTGTTCTCACAAGAATAACCCTTCAGGTTCCCATACACTATCTGCGGCACAGGGTAACCCGCCGCAGTGAACTTGCGCATGATCGCCTGGTGGTCCGTCTCCCAGTCGGCCCCACTGGCCTCGCCCGCTTCATCAAACTGCATGTCGGAGAACACATGCAGGCGCTGCACCATGTCAGCCAGGTCTAGCTGGAACTGCCGAGTGCGGGACAGCAGTAGGTCAAACACCGCCTGGAAGTTGGTGTTGACGCCCCAGGGCATGCGACGCACGCTCCTCACGCGCTCCACCAGCGTCTCTCCCTGCACGTGGTGCATTGTGGGTGGGCTGCTCGGAGAAGGTGATGAGGTGGTTCTTCCACGGCTCGCTGCTCACCTCGCTCACGAGCAGCAACAGTGCAATGGCCACCTGCATGGGCGTGCCCAGCATGCTCCCCGACACATCGCAGGGATGCCAACACCCGCTCCCTCCCCCTCAACCCCTCTTCCTGCCACCCCCCCTGCATGCACGCATCTGGACTGGGCATGAATCGCATCACTGGGCTGGCTCCCTCCCCTCCCGCCTCTCTGCCTTCTCTCGCCTCTCCTCACTCGTTCTCGGGCAGAACCAAGTTCTGGGCCGGCCAGCTTCCCTAAGAACTTGGCGCGCTCACCGGCCTCGTGACTCTGTGGGTTCACTCGCATGCGTGTGTGGCTGGCTTGGCTGACTTGCACGCGTGTGTGCGCTGGCTTGGCTGACTTGCATGCGTGTGTGCACTGGCTTGGCTGACTTGCATGCGTGTGTGCGCTGGCTTGGCTGACTTGCATGCATGTGTGCGCTGGCTTGGCTGACTTGCATGCGTGTGTGCGCTGGCTTGGCTGACTTGCATGCGTGTGTGCGCTGGCTTGGCTGACTTGCATGCGTGTGTGCGCTGGCTTGGCTGACTTGCATGCGTGTGTGCGCTGGCTTGGCTGACTTGCATGCATATGTGCGCTGGCTTGGGCTGACTTGAGTTGACTCGCATGTGTGTGCTCTGCTTGATTGGACTTGACCTCACTTGCACGCGTTTTACAGTGCATACTCCCTGTATTCCTTCTTCCATTATTTCAATGTCAAACACTCCCTCCTCACTCACTCTCCCATCTGCACTCCATCATTCCCCTCCCCATCAACCCTAAACCTTATCCCCAATCGTCACTTTCTCTCCCCCCCCCACCCCACAGCTTACTGGGCTATAACCACTTCCAAGGCCCGCCTCCTCATTCATGCAGCAAGCTCACCAACCTTCAGTGCTGTGAGCGACACACCCACCTGCTGTGGGCCACACTCCAACCCCATGCCTCTGCAAGCTTCCACCAGTAATGCTTCTGCTCTTCCCTCATTTCATCGTCCTGCTATCGTTGCATCCGGCCATCTTCCTTTCCCCATCCCTCGCCGTCTATCTATTGAAACCCGCACCCTCCTTATTGCCCACCCCCCCCCATCCGCCCCTCCCTCGTCCTCCTAATATTTCGCCATTCCTCCTCCCGCTCTCCCAGCCCCCTTTACCCCCTGTGTTCGACCACCCCCTTCATCCGTCCCTTGGCGCCCTCCTTACCCCTCCTTACCCCTCCTTACCCCTCCTTACCCCTTATCCCTCCTTACCCCTCCTTTGCCCTCCTTACCCCTCCTTATCCCTCCTTACCCCTCCTTACCCTTTATCCCTCCTTACCCCTCCTTTGCCCTCCTTACCCCTTCTTATATCCCTTTGACATTCCCCCCTCACTCGTTCTGTGTACCCCCTAAACCTATCCTTCTCCATCCGCCTCCCTCCTCTCCCTCTACTGCCTGCATGAGACCACCGCCGTCATCCGTTCCTAAACCCCCCACCTTATTGCTCCTTACCCCTCCTTATCCGCCTTATATCCCTCTCCTGTTCTTCCCACAACCGCCTGCCTGTGAAGGCTGCCTTCCCTCCCTTGTACGTCGGCCCCTCACCCCTCTCATTCTCCTCCTTCTCCCCAACAACCCCCCCCTCCCCCCCCCCCCCCCCTCCTCCCCTCCACCTTCCCCCAGGTCCCTCTACAGCCTGCCTGTGACCGCCCTCCCTCCCTCGTGGTCAGCCCTCTCGTCCCTCTCCTCCCTCTCTTCCTCTCCTTCTCCTTCTCCTCTGCTGCCGCCCCCGTCTCGGGCTCTTTCCCCGCCTTCATCACACAACTCCCCAACATCCAACACATGTGAGCGCGTGGAGTGGTAGGGAGTGGAGGAGGGGGGAGCATGGAAAGGCGAGGGGTGCGGAGTGCAGATAGTGGAGTGTGGGGTGAGCGGGAGGTAGTGGGGATGAATGGGACGTAGAGCACGGTTGTCTTTTTCTCCCTTGTCGTCCATTCCTCTTCCCCATCCCATCCCATCCCATTCCATCCCATCCCATCGCACGAGCCAATCATTGCATTGCTTCATATCCTCGCCACTCTCCTCCTTCCCCTGTAAGCCCTCCCTTGTTCTTTTCGCACATGACCCTCGTCGTTCCCTGCCTGCCATTTCACACGCCCATGCTTCTCTTCGATTTGCTTCCACGGCCCATGTAAGCAACTGTGTCGCCGCTACAAGTGTGCTGCCAATGCCTGTGCACTATGTGCTTGCTCGCTCCCTTTCACACCCCATGCTACCAGGTGTTATGTGAGTCACGGCACCCGCCCCGCTAGTTTCTCCCTTCTGTGCGACCTCTCTGCCGCTCTCTTCCGTGATTCCACCAACAGCCCCTCCTCCTCCCCCAGCCTTCCCCTCTCCACCTCACCCGCTCCTCCGCCCACCACTGATGCTGCCCTGTTGGCAGCATCATGTGCAGCACACGAGTCACTGCTGCCGCCCTCCTCTGCTCCCTCGCCCCTCTCCTACGCCCCCTCCTGCCCTCCTCCGCCTCTTCCCCCCTGGCCCCATCATCCATGCAACCCACACCTACACCCGTGCCGCTCGCCACCGCCCCTCCTGTATGCAAGCCCCTGAATAGCCCCACTTGATTCTCCCTGACTTTGACTACCCCAGATTGCATTTTCAGGGGTGTGGTCGGCAGTCTGACTCTCAACCATGAGTGTTTTCGTTGTTTTTGCCTGACATAGGTGGTTGCCTCCTAGTAAAAATGATAGCGGGTGGCCTGCTTCCATCCCATGCGTTCCTTTGGATGGTTTCACTTACGCTAAATCAGGAGAAGTTCAGCACTTCCTCGCTCTCTCTCGATGCCCATGATTTATCCGTTAAGTCTTTCCAAAGCTCCTGGGCAGACCACTGCAGAGTGCTTATGTGAGCATGTTTGCACTATCTTCCACAAACCTGATCTGATATGATGAAAATAAAGGATGCACGTTCTTACAATGCTATTGCATGCTAGTAAAACTTGAATGTTTCATGCAGGGCCTCAGATTCGTTTGGGGGTACACTGAGGCCTCAGGGCAGTTTTTAGGAAATCAGAATTTGCCCTGAATTGTCAGGGCTGCACAGGGTGAGGTATCCTGAGATGCCAGTGCTACATTTAGCAGTATCCTCAAAATTTAGTGCTACATTCAGTAATAGGTGAAGTGTTGTAGCGGGTAAAGAGATAATGCGATACGTAAAAGGTCTCTTGCTCGATTCCTACTGGCTCCTATGTTGAGGTGCTTGCCCGTACATATTTTAGCCCCAAAACCCAGGAGATTTTTCGTACAGTACATCTCGCCTCAGAGCGAGATTCGACACTATCCTGACTCATCAGGGCTGAACCTACAGCCTTATCCTGAGTTTTCAGTACGCAAAATAACCGTTATACTGAAATTACAGGACAATTATTCCTGTTATGCTGTTTTTCCAGGACTAGCACACGACACCTATCCTGAATTCAGGAGAATCAGGATAAATTATCCTGATAACTGAGGCCCTGGTTTCATGCTAGATACTACTGTAACAAATGATCCTTCCGTTCAACGAACAGGGGTATAGAGGAGATTGCATCAAAGCGAAGAAACATACCGGTACCAGCTACTCTGTCCTGTCCACGATACTAAAACCAGTCATCAGATGAGTGACCATCGGCTCTGAGTAAATCTGAATCCCATGTGCACATTGATCTAAATCCCCTCCCTCCCTCCTCCCCCTTCCTGCCACAGTCGGTGCTGCTATAGCTGCCTGCCGCGTGCGCCTCAGCTTCCCATCCTCTGCAGGTTAATGGCATGGTGAACAAGGAAACACAGACAAAAAACAGAATCCATGACCATGATCAGACAAACGCTTGGTCATGCCATGGCGTGGGTAGCACCATACAGCAGGCGTTCATACATCCCACTCAATAAATTTATAGGTCCTTCCCATTCGGTTGCCTCTCCATACATCCCCCCAACCATGCACCACACCATCTCCGCATCTTACCATTCACGCAAGCCAGCATCTACCAAAGCCAAGTCGTCAATGGCGACGTGCAGGTCCCGCACCACCCTCTGGTGTCATGCAGGAGGAACAAACAAGGGAGGCAGGACCAGTGAAGAGGAGGGACGACAAAAGAGTGGACAAAACAGATTACTGGTCCGGCAAAAGACAGGGGGTTTGCGCTGGGGATGGCGGACGGGTAGGATGACTGCCTCACCCCTTGGTTGAAGGCGATGCGGACTGGAAAAGCAGAGAAGCAGGCAAAGTTTCAAAGTCACACACCTTTTGTTCCCGCTGTCTCACTCCCAACCCCACACACGCACATGCCCCATGCAAACATGCGCACCATTTCGTCCCCATTTCGCCACCATGGACTCGCATCGCATATGCCGCAGTCGAGTCACGACACGGAGCAGGTGGTGGCGAACGATCCCACCACCCCGTGCACAACCATACCGTATACTCCCGGACAAAACACCCCCCCATAATTGTACACCCCCGGGTAGCTTGTGCGGGGTGGGTGTTATGATAGACCTCGTTTCTACTATACCCCCCTTTTTGGCTGATTTTCTATAACACCCCCCCTTTTCTTACGGATTCATTATTATAGTCGTTAACGAGTAGCTGCAATACGGAAGAATATCGTGTGAATTTCTCCCTCAATGAAATTTCGCGGTACATTCAAAGGCAATCTGCCGAGATTTGCCCCCTCCCACTATTTCTCTGTCGCCACGTGCAGGTGAATCTTCCGTTGCAAGTGGCAAGAGAGGTGCCACATGCCATTTTCGTGGGGGCGATGAAGTTCGAGGCCGAAACTCACATTCGCGCCTCAGGCAGTGATGCTAAAACGACCAGCAAAACACCCACATTGACTAATTAAAAAAACACTAACACTAAGATATGCCATATGTAAAGACCCGGGTATTATGTATTTTTTTCCTATGAGGAGACCCCCCCCATTTTTTCCCTGTATTTTTAGCTATACCCTAGGGTGTTATGTCCGGGAGAATACGGTACCTGGTGTTGGCGAGGGGGACGTGCCCACAGCACCCCATGCTCCGAAGAAGATTCGTCCTGAGGTTTGCATGTTCCACCTCTCAATACATACTTCTCAATGATTCAGCGTTTAGGGCTAAGCACAAATAACCATATTTTTTTGAAGCTGAAGCGGGCAAAGAACCAGCAATGCTACTGAAATTCGAACCTTGGATGAATGCATGCATGCACTGATCTCACATCTTACATTCCCCATGCACACCTTCCCTGTCCCTCTCATCGGTACCATCGCCAGCCGATTCTGCTCCTCCACCACCTCTTCAGCTGCCAGCCACCTCTCCCATGCCCAAACACCAACCTGTACCACCTGGAAATGCTGTCTAAGCTGCCCAGAAATCCCCACACACCTCTGCCTTCCCTGTCCCTCTCACCCGTAGCTTCTCAGCCAGCCTGGCCCGCTCCTCCACCGCCTCCTCGTTCGCCACCTCCCCCTGCCTCAGCGCCTCCTGCAGCTCGGCCTGTAGCTTTGCCTCTGATGCTGCCCGCGCTGCCACTTCTTGCTTCAACTGGTGGGTGAAGGGGGACGGCGGGAACAGGCGTGCCAGCACACAGGGGAAAGGAGAAGATCTTTGAGACGCCTCAAAAGCCTTGCCTGCCTGCAGCTCGCGCTGCAGCTTCGCCTCTGCTGCTGCCGGCGCTGACACCTGTTAGTTCAGGCAAACCAAGACAAACGGGAGACAAAACGGGTAAGAAAAGCATCCAATGAAATGTGATCGACCTCCATCCTGCCGATAGAAAAAACTGCAACAAGCACCGCAAGAAAACAGCAGCGTATCACGACACAAGGGAGAGGAGGAGAATAGGAGCGTACGTAAAGGCAAGATAAACATTTTCCTGGCTCGATAAAGGGGAAGAATAGAGTTGCTGGCAAGTAAGCATGGAGAGAGGCAGTTGCTAGGGGAAAACGCTGGAAGACACACAACACGGCAGACAGACAAGTGTCTCTACCTGTTCAAATTGCTCGAAGGCCCGTGCCGAGCGGCGGGTCTCGGCGTTGTTGATTTGCGTCCGGATGTCGAGGCAGATCTCCGCGCCCTGCGTGGTCTCGAACTGGAAGACGTGGTGCCAGTCCGCCATGCATATCTTGAAGGACACCGAGGCAGAGGTGTGGCGAAACTGCACAATGTCGCTCAGACCTGCCGAATCGATTTACTCCTTTGGGACCGGGCGGAAGAAATGCAGCTGTGAAGGGGGAGTGTGTGGGTGGAGGGGGCAGCAAGGTTATGAAGAAACCAGTTACCCCTTCTTGTTGATGGCATTCAGCATCATCCCAGGCAGCAACCCTACGAGGTCTAAAGAGGGACTCACACATGTTGAACAGTCAAACAAAGAGGGGTCTATCTCACCCAGAAACCACATCAGGGTAGAGTGGGGCAACTTACCCCGCGCTTGTTGATGCCGATCAGCACTCGCTCCGGCAGCAGTCCAATGGGGCCTTCTATGCGCATCACGTGGTAGAAGACAGACCCGCTGTATGGTTGGGTTCAGATCCTAAGGGTCTTACCCCGCGCTTGTTAATGCCGATAAGCAATTGCTCTGGCAGCACGCGAATTGGGTCTTCAATGCGCCTCACGTGGTAGAAGGCGGACCCGACGTATGGTTGGGCTCGGATTATCTTCAGGAATTCCTGCTTCGCATCTTCAGGCACCAGTTTTGACTGCAACCCAGGAAAGGAGTGGGGGAATGGGGCGAAAAGACAGATTAAGTGAGTGTGATATGCCACGAGAAAGGCTCAACAAGACATGTCCCAATATCGTGTCTTCGTTTTTCAGAGCCCTGAAACAAGTGCTTCTCGAGTGGAAGTGAAAGCGTGAGGACGCAGCAAAAGGTCAAAATTGTAAGCGAGAAAATGCTGAGTTCACATTACGTGCACATTGTGTAGTACATAACAGGGTTAACAAAGGCGAGCATTACAAGAGCTTCGTAACGAGCAGCAACGTAAGGTACACCAAAGGCTTCAGATATAGCGTCCATGTCTCATACACACTCTCATTCTACCTCATGAGTCCTCAGTGGGACATACCAGTTCCCATTTCAAGGCACTTAGAGCAAACAGGCATGCAGCTTACCAGCGCCTTATAGCGAGTGAGGACATCCACGCCCCACTCTCCCTTCTGCCTCAAGGGCTGGAACTGCTTGGGGATTCTTTTCTCCACCTCCGCTTGCCAATCGCTGGATGAACGACAACCAGAGAAAAGAGAGAGGGATTATGGAGGGAGGGAGGGAGGAAGTGGAGGGTGGAAGCGAGCGACATGAGGATCGGAGGAGGGAGGGAGAAAGAGGGGAGGGAGGGTGGAAGCAAAGGAGGGAGGGAGGCACGTGAGCAGAATAGACTTACTACTTGAAATTGGAGCCCTCAAGCTGGAAACAGCCCCTGCTCCTAAGAGAAACATCCTCAGCATAGAAAAAACATTTCCAGCGCAGCCCTCCCATGCAAGCGAACTCACCGGGCGGCCTCACGCTCGGTCAGCGAGTCGAAGTCCACAGTCATCCCTCAGCACGGGGTAGTTTCCCTCCTCATAGTCCTGCTTCGCTTGCAGATAGGACAGGCGGATGAAGACTTCATCCGTGATCGCCTCCTCGCTTTTCCGGAAGAACTTTTTGCGGAAGAGGAGGCGCAGTTGCACCTCCCGCTTGCTCTCCTCCTTGAAGCTCATCAGTTTCGCCATCACGTCCCCCATATAAGCATTCTCGTCAATGTCCAAGTAGTCGTCTGCGCAACAAAGGAAACGAAGAGAAAATATCAATCATGGACTGACGGACTGGTTTGTTGCACTGACTACGCGTGCCATGTGAAACTTGATGGCAATGCGAGTATGAACGGGGGCATAAATGATAATTACAGGAAAACCATGTTGATATGTGGCATGGATCACACAGTGAAAGAGCATGCACGACAAATCATGCAACCCAAGGTTATTTACAAGAACCAGAAACAGAACAGAATCACGCCTACAGAGAACAGAATCACGCCTACAGGGAGCAGAATCATGCCTACAGGGAGCAGAATCACGCCTACAGGGAGCAGAATCACGCCTACAGAGAGCAGGATCACGCCTACATGGAGCAGAATCACGCCTACAGAGAGCAGAATCACGCACCCAGATAACAGAATCACCAGCACTAGGTACAATGAGACACAACCATTGGTTCGACAGACTCACGTGCATGCACAGGATCACAGAACCCCACAACCCCTCCTCTTAATCACCTCTGCCTATCCCAAAACGGCTGTGGGCCTGAGACTCACTGGAGACTTTTTCCACGTTGTTGGCGAACGTTATGTACTTCCTGTGCTCGTACAACCCAAACGTCTCAAACCTCTCCAGGTTGATACTGCTCGCCGCACTCTGCACAAGCACAGCAACAGTGATGATGGTCGCACAGCAACAGTGATGATGGCCTCACAGGACAGAACAATCACATCAAGAGATGACAGTTGCATGGTCGCACAGGACAGGACAGGACAGTGGCATGGAGGGATAGAAGCATCTCAAAATGAGAGGGCAAATTGTGTGCTACAGTCCCATGCATCTAAAGTCACATCACAACTCACCTTCAGAATCTCCGATGCGGTCGTTGACGCATCGTACCCGGCCTCCTCGAACCTGTCATCCAGGAAATACACCATCGTCTTGAGCGCTCGGCCCGTCTTTAGCGCGAGCAACTCATCAACGGTCGGAACCGTCTTCCTAGCCCCGACCTTCATCGCCTTCTTGAGCGCGTTCCACGTGGCAAGCGCCTTCGACTTCACCTTCTCGTCTACCCCCCCATCGTTCGCGATCTCTTGCACATACTCGATAATAGGCGTCCCGAGATACACCCCCGGCGGCACCACCGACGCGCACAGATGCATCACCTCCCACACCCTCAAACACGCCTCCCTGTCGTGGTTATTCCGCGTTTGCTTGTGCAGCTGCGCGTACAGCTCCTCCTGCATCTCTGGCTTCCCAAGGACCATCTCGAGGATGCGAACCAGCGCCTGCACCAGCTCGCGTTCGTCGGTGATAGGGGCGCCGTTGAGCCCCATGTAGTGTAGAATGTCCTGGAACATGCACACAGCTTTCGCCTGCAGGTCCGTGGGGAGCCGCGTGAGCGCGGTCGGGATGGGGTCCTACCAAAAGGAGACCAATGGGAGGCGCAGGAAGGACACCAATGGGATGCACAGAACGGTACACAGACGATTTCGTTGAAAGCGCACGAGACTATGCGGAGCAATGAAGCACCTTTGTCAACACAATTCATAGCACCTACCAGCCCCTGCTCCTACCCTTTGAAAGCTCAGCATATCTTCGAAAATCGCCTGGTCGGAGCTGTCATGCGCGTCAGGAGTCGCATGGTCTTGCCGGTCCACGGGGCTGGGACTGGCTCCAACGAGTTGTCGCTGCACCGCGGCGAGGTAGTGCTGTACTTGGTACAGCTCGCTGATTGGGAAGCCCGTCAGCCTGCTCCCCGCGGCCGACCTGACACGTGATGGAGGGAGAGAAAGACAGGTGCGCAAAGCGGACAGACGAGCAGACACAAAAGACGAGTAAAGTGCAGGGCAGGGGGCGAAGCGAAGAGCCTCCCTGTGGTACAACATCAGCAAAAAGGCGCTGTCCCTGAGCTGACAATAAAGTCAGTACATCACGGAAAAGGACTTGCGGCCAAGCTTCCAAACAGTCACTAAAAAGTTGTGAAAAAAGATACATGCCCCCCTCAGCTTTTGAGTCATGGTCACAACCAACGGTTGGCACTGGCAGGTAACCTAGAAGGTTGCGAAAATGTTGCATTTAGCCGCAGCTCTCAAGCAGGAAACTGTATACCCAAACAGGTATGCACCCGCAAGTGTGCATGGACCTGCACACAACGAATGAGTTGTTAGCACGCCTCCACAATACTACGGCCAAGCCTCGTACATGCGACGTGCACACAACCAGGACACGTGGCATCCGTACTCGTACGCTCTGTCAAGCTAAAACAGACCGTACGGCACACATAGGCCCGTGTCGTACTCCAATCAATGACGAGCACGTGACGAATTTCGATAGATCCGCATACTGGTAACCTGCGAGTTCGCAACCCAACCACGCACCCCGTTGTCCCTCATCGCGAAACACTGAAAGACGTGCACGACACCTGTACGAACCCCGTATACGCTGACACTGCAGAGATTTCTGCTCTAACGGGAGTTGGAGCTCTACGAAATGCTTCTCTGCAGCCACGCAAACTTTGTTGTTCACTGTAAGGAAAATTCCTTTTCCTTACTTCGCATCCCTGCTCAACGCGTACATCACTGTAGCACCACAGTCAGCACCGTTACCACTTGCAACCCTCGCATCGACAATCCGCCCGCCACCTTCGCACATCGCACCCCGACCTCACGGCTCGGCGGGTAACCCGCGCTCCGGGCCTCCGCTTCGACACTTTTTCCCAACCTCAGTCCCAGGCCCGTCGCGCGACAACCACAGTCCATTACCGTTACTACTGTAGTTTCGCTATATATTCTTCGCTCATGCCTTTGCTCATTGTACTCTTGCTTCGATAGTGCAATTCTCGTTCGTTCACTCAATTGCACTCGTAACACTTGGTATTCAAAGCCTACGATCTCCTCTCGGACCGCACCCACACCTTCGCTTCCCCACTATCTCAATTTTTTGGGGGGGGTAGACGTCTCTCAGCGACACAGCACCGCCGCTCGTAGTGCTCTCTCGTAAGCACGCACGGCCACGACCGAGGCTCTCGCTGAGCTCGCCCGACACCCCCGCCATGGCTGAATTCACGCTCGCCACATTGACGCAGGAGCAGCTCGACCGTCTGGTGCACCAACTTGAAGATTCGGCGCTCGAAATTGCGACGCTCACGGCGGAACGTGACTCCGCGCGTCAGCAATCAACGATGAACACTCCAGCGCCACCACACGCACCGACAAATGCATCTGCACAATCAGACGAGCCGATCGTCATCTCGTCCGGCACACCAACACAAAACAACAGCGTGGGACAGCGCTCAGGCGCAGCCAGCGATGGCGCCGCCCAGCCGATGCCTGGCATGGGAGGAAACAGGGTCGCACCAAGTCCGCGGGAGCCTCGCGAAGCCCGTTGGCACGTGGAGTTCGCGGCGACAAGTGGCGAACAGGCCATTATGGCACCAATGCCACTCAAGCCGCAACGCCCGCCCTGCTTCGACCCGAGCCAGCGTGGAGGTCCGACGGTTCAATCGTGGGTCTTCACGATGAACGTCTTCTTCGACGCGAATTACGTCGAGTCAGACGCAGCGAAGATTCGGTATGCCGTTTCGCTGCTAAGGGGCCCCTCCATGGACTGGTGGCGAGTCATCGTGACGTCGCCACGCGCCTACGAGCCACCGTCGCAAGAGGAAGGGCCCACGGGCCCAGCTGTCAACTGGAGTTCATTCTGCGAGACCGCCCAATACAGCACGTGGGATGCGTGGTGCGCAGGGCTTTGGGCGCGCTTCGAGCCGATCGCGGCTTCTATTTCGGCGCGTCAGAGATTGCGCACTTGGCGGCAGCTTGGATCGGTTCAAGACTATACGAGTGGTTTTCTCGCATTATGCGAGCAAGTCGGCTACATGCACCAAGCGGAGCGGGTGGACCGTTACGTCGGAGGGCTGAAGCCGGACATCTCGCACGAAATCATGCTACGCGGGCTCTCGAACTTCAACGAGATTCTCGCGCTCGCCGAGAAAATCGACATTTTACGCCGTCCGAGACTGGGGTCCTACTATGGACATCGTCCTCGGGGACCGATCGAGCACGCCACTGTACACGCTGTTGTGATGAATGCAGCTGCCGCGCCATTTAAGGAGCGCTGCTTTGCTTGCAACAGGCCGGGCCATCGCAAGAGCGAATGCCCAGAGGAGCTAAGGCGCCGCGGAGCAGAGCAGGGGAGGGAGTCTCCAAAGCAGGGAAACGCCAGCAGTCAGTAGGAATCAGGCCAACTACTGACAAGACTGCCTGCTCGCACAACCCCACCGACCCTCACCGAGTCACAGTACCGATTCATGCTATCGATCGGACTCGGACGAATAAGGAGGGTACAGCGACAGATTGCCCAGTACTGATCCACGGGAAAATACAGGGAGCAGCAGTGAAGAGTTTTATCGACGGAGGAGCAAGCCACAGTTTAGTTAACACCGCAACCGCACGAAAACTGCAGCTGACACTTAGCCGTTGCTTACCGGAGATAGACGCACGCTTAGTCGACGGCACGCCACTGGCCATACGGGAAAAGGTAGAGAGAGTCAAAGTCCGCTGCGGGGGAAATTTCGGGTTTACACAGGAAATGCTCGCAACGACACTGGATGGGCACGATATTTTACTGGGACGTGATTGGCTGCGACGGTATAACCCGCGAATTGACTGGACGACGGGTAGCTGCACCGTGCGAAGTAGTGGTAACTGGGTCGAGCTACCTCGCTGGCAGTCGCCCGAGTCTTCAACGGTACACGTCAACGCCATCACAATGAAACGGGCTGTCGCTGCTGGAGCTGACGTGTACGCAGTAGACATCGCAGTAGTAGAGGAAGCAGAGCAGCCGAGTGATTTCAAGAAACTGCTGGCAGCCGTACCGCCCGAATTACAGGAACTGTTGAAACGATACCCCGGGATTTTCCCCGACGACTTACCGGAAGGACTGCCACCTCAGCGAGCGCATGACCACCGAATCGAATTAGAACCGGGGGCACAGCCAACCGTACAGCGCCAGTTCAGACTGACACAGCCCGAGCTCGACGAACTGAGGAAGCAGTTAGATTACCTGTTAGAGAAAAAATTCATCAGACCGAGCTCGTCACCGTTCGCCGCACCGATACTATTCACGCCGAAAAAAGACGGGGGTTTTCGCATGTGTATCGACTACAGAGCACTGAACAGGGTAACAGTCAAGTCGCGGTACCCCATTCCCCGCGCCGACGAACTGATCGACCAACTGCGAACAGCACGGGTTTTTTCGAAAATAGATTTACGGGGAGGTTACCATCAGATTAGGGTCGAACCATCGGACTGCGCCAAAACAGCTTTCCGGACTAGGTACGGGTCGTTCGAGTACACTGTGATGCCATTCGGGCTGACCAACGCACCGGCGACTTTTCAGATGACCATGAACGAGGCATTTAGGCCGCTCTTAGATAAATGTGTAATAGTTTACCTCGACGACATCCTAGTGTACAGTCGGGATAAGCAGCAGCACTTAGCAGATCTGGAAGCAGTGTTTAAGGTTTTAGACGAGCACAGATTACTGACCAAGGGTTCCAAGTGCGAGTGTTGAACAGTAGGCAAAAGTAGGGCCTAGGCTTAGTAGCCTAGGCCAAGGGGAGTCGAGGTGGTTTGTGCCAAGGAGAGAGAAATGGGAATGATGTTCACTATAGCACTAGGGTACATATAGCAAACAAAGAGGTGCACCACCTATAAAGCTAATATCTACACTACAGCTAGAACTACATGCAGGTATAAGAATATAATTCTGACAGCGAGTTTTTCCATGATAGGTTAGAATTTTTGGGGCACGTTATTTCGGAGGCTGGAGTTGAAATCGACCCAAAGAAGCTGGATACGGTAAAAGCGTGGCATCCCCCGTTGAACATCACGGAGCTGCAGAGCTTTTTAGGGTTCGTTAATTATGTGAGTCGGTTCGTCCCCGATATGCCACGGTTAACTGCCCCACTGACGGATTTACTGCGGAAGGGGGTCGCTTTTACGTGGGGGGAGAAAGAGCATGCTGCCTTCTCTGCCCTGAAAAATGTTCTCTGTTCACCGCCCGTCCTGCGCATCGCCGACCCACACCGCCCATTCAAAGTAGTTACCGACGCAAGCGATATCGCCATCGGAGCCGTACTGCTACAGGATTTCGGCAATGGCCTACAGCCTGTCGCATACGAGTCACGAAAACTGCATCCGCCCGAAAAAAATTACCCGATACACGACCGCGAAATGCTTGCGATCGTGCACGCGTTCAAAGTATGGCATTGTTACTTGACTGGCGCGGACGTGACAGTACGGACAGACCATAAATCACTACAGTACCTTCGCGCACAGCCACACCTCAACCCACGACAGATTCGCTGGCTCGATTTCCTCGAGTCCAACTTTCACTACACGGTCACTTACAAAAAGGGAGCCTCGAACATCGCCGACGCACTGACCCGCCCCACTGCCCAGATCCACGCAATACTACTCGCCCAGACAAGCCCGCTACTGACAGGCCTATTCACCCACGGGTACCAAACGGATCCATTCTTCACAGGAGGAAATTCGCAGCAGTTCGCAGCAGCAAAGGGAGTCTATTACGTAAAAACCGGGACTGGCCGCATTTGGGTACCTGGGTATACACTGCTACGGGAATTACTGTTACAGGAGGCACACGACGGAGTTACCTCGGGGCATTTCGGAGTAGAAAAAACACGGCAGCAGCTGCAGCGGTATTATTACTGGCCCGAAATGTTGACCGACGTACAACGACACGTGGCATCGTGTCCCACTTGTCAGCTCATGAAATCATCACGACAGCGGCCGGCGGGACAGTTGCAGCCGATACCACCCCCAGAGCGTGCTTGGCAGCAGGTGACGATGGACTTCGTCACGGG